GGATGCTCTATCTATTAAGCATAGTCTACCTAGAAATTCTTTTTCCCTGAAACTAATGAATAATAAGACTCAAAAAATGACTGAAGTAGAAGCATGTAGGTATAACATCATATTCAACATCAGAGTAAAATATATGTCTCGTGTACTAACAAGGTGAGTCTCTCAGATGTACAACTACTCAAGAATGTGTTATCACATTTAGTGTCCGCCAAACTCATTGGGCTATCAAGTTATATAAATATCTTTTCTGAGTCTTTTCAACTAATAGCACCCATGTGCATGACAACTATTAAACATTCCAACCTCTGCGCATAACTATGCAGATACGATGACATAGGTTCCTCAACCTCTGCGCACTCTAATGCGGATACGATAACATATGTTCACAGACCCTAGCGCACTCTAGTGCGGATACAATATCATAAGTTCACCAACCTCAGCGCACTCTAGTGCGGATACAATAACATGGATTCACCAACCTCAGTGCACTCTAGTGTGGATACAATAACATAGGTTCACAAACCTCAGCGCATACTAGTGCGGATACAATAACATAGGTTCACCAACCTTAGCGCACACTAGTGTGGATACAATAACATAGGTTCACCAACCTCAGCGCACACTCGTGCGGATACAATGCCAAATAAAAAAGTATACTCGAAACAATACTTAACAAAATCCCCCTTTTGGGTATTAACACGTGTACTACGACAATATTCATTTATAATTATTTCTACACATGTATCATCATGCAACTCAAGCCTCATGCTCGCATTTTAAATCAAAACAACACAACATTAGGAAAAACAACCTTAGTAGTCGACTATTAAGCTTAGTAGTCGACTACACTGAGTCGACCCAGACTATGTAAAACATAAATCAGTATTAATAGTCGACTATCTTGTATATTAGTCGACTACTATGTAATCAGATAGCTTTTGTAAAACCAAACTGGACATTAGTAGTCGACTACTATTATTAGTAGTCGACTACTACTATTAGTAGTCGACTACTAAGCAAAAACATGCACACCTTCGTGTACATACAGCACTAACAAATGTCACATGTTTATTATGCTTTAATATGACATACAACTAGTAAATACAAATCAAAAGAATCATCTCCATGATTATTTTAAACCCTTGATTCAACTAATTTCGTTTAATATCCTCATTAAACATGAATTTGACATAAACCCTACTTATCAATTAGATCAACATGAATATACTTGCATATTAAACTTGAAACTGATATAATTTCATTTATTCACATTTACAGAACCAAAAATATCCCAAACCTAGGGTTTAATCAGACTTAATTAATGTGTAAGCTCTTTATATCACAATATTAGGGTTTTGAGCATGATTAACACATAGAAAACAAGATACAAATGAAGATCTACACCATCTAATGATCATGATCATGTTTTTATTATAAAGAGCAAGTAAAACATGTAGATCTAACACCAGGTTAAGATTTTATATAAAAAATCCTCTTTTTATCATGTTAAACAGTTAGATCTACGCATCAAAATATCCATATTACTTAATAAACCCAAGATCTACACTATGGTTAAGGTTTGGATGTAGAAGATCTTGCCTCAATCACGGTGTTAATCTCCTGAACGTGTGTGCAAAGTCCTTTCTTCAGCGACAACCCTCGATCTCTCCCTCTGCTCGATGTCATGTCTCGAAACGCCTCGAGGAACTCCAAATCGGCTCTGGGGTTTAGGGGGAAGGAGGTGACTGTATTCTTTGGTGAATTCTATTAGGAATTAGGGGTTTTACGTGTTTATAAACTAAAGTTATCAATTGGGTTCGAAATAACACAAATCTGACCCGAAAACTAAAACCTGGCATGCCCAGGAATTCCCGATAGTCGACTGCTCCTTCTTAGTAGTCGACTACATTGTAATATTTAAGATTTTGTCAATTGTTTATGGGCTCTTAGTAGTCGACTACTAAGAACATTAGTCGACTACTAAGAGTCTGTGCAAGCTGATTCATTGTCATACTCGAAATTTTATACGTCGAATTGATCTCAAACCAATTCCTAATGTACTCAAATATCAAAATATGCTATTTATCATAGTATAACATATAAAATATTATTTATCACATAATATTCAAATTTGTGGGGTTTTACTAATGTATATTGTTTCAAGACATTAGTTCAATTGTAATGGTACTTTTGTACAATTTTTCATGTTATGCAATTAGGGGCTGTTTGTTTGGCTAAAAAAATAAGAAAATCAAAGAATAGAAAACCTATTTCTAAGAAAACTTTTTTTATTGTTGTTTGGTTGGCTAAAAAAAGAAGAAGATCAAAGAATAGGAGATGAGATGAGTTGTCACCATATTATTGGATGACGTGGGTGGTTTTTTAAGAAAACTTGTTTTGAGGTTGTTTGGTTGGTTTAAAAAAATAAGGAAATGAATTATAAGAAACATATTTCCTATAATATGTTCTTTTCTTGTGTTTGGTTCATTCTTAAAAATAAGAAAATAGATGAGATGAGTTGTCATTATATTATTGGATGATGTGACTCTTACTTAAGGAAATCAATTTCCTTGGGTTTTTGAGGAAATTGGTGGAAATAAAATTTTAATAAGATGAGATGAGTTGTCACCATATTATTGGATGGTGTGCGTGATTTTTAAAGATGAGATGAATTGGATGATGTAACTCATTTCTTGTGTTTGGTTATTTTTAAAAGTAAGAAAAGAGATGAGATGAGTTGAGTTGGTGGATAAAAATAATATTTTATTAGATGATGGAGTGAGTTTTAGGGAGTGAAATAGATGAAAATAATATTTTATTGATTTTAATGTATAGATTTCATTTTCTTGGTTTTTAGAAAACCAACCAAACAGCCCATTAACCTTTTGGGGATATTCAAACAGCTTAATTAACTAGCGTAAGTTCTATCCTTTTCGACAATGCATTTCCATTTGATTTTTTCTTCGTATTTCTCGAAGATGAATTAATTGCGATTATATGTATTAAATCATATAATCATCTTACATTGTTGTGGGAGCATGGGAGGCTTAGTACTTCTTGGTTTGCATGAGCTTACACTGCATTACAAAATAATGTGCTGGTACAAACTAACTTAATCATTTGTACCTTATTGATTTCCGTAAATAATATCTTGCTAAAATAAGGAATTACGGAATGAAAAATAAACGAGACCCTCTTCTAAAAGTTGTTTGTCATAGTTGAATTCGAACTATAAACAATAATACCATTGTCATTTAAGGGAAAAAAAATCCTTTCTATTACCCTAGCGAATTGATTAGTAGTTATTTTGCACCTAAAACTTTGATATCCAACCAAAAATATTATTTTCCATATATAATAACATGGTAAATGAGTAAATGCAATATCTCATGAGTAGTAGATACATACACAAATGCATGCACCGACCCGGGCGACGTGAGTCAGAGACAATCGTCACTAACTCACATCATCCAAAGTCCAGTCACAATGATACACGAAAGAGCTTAATTATTGACACGTAAACACAATCTTTTTGCCACTCATACATGAAAGAGCTTAATTTTAGTAGTTTTATCATGATTTGATTAGATGGTGAAATATTTTTGGAAACTTTGAAAGTAAAGTTTACTGCTCTTGTCCCTACTTGTGACTTTATGCTGAATTTTGGGTTTTTCTCTCTTGGGGGGTGGGGTTGCAGTGTTGGCTGATTTTGTCTAACTTGTACTGAACTATTAAAGCAGTGTTGACTGATCTTGTTTAACTTGTATAGAACTATTAACTGTTAACCATTAAATTTTAGCTTTAATGTAGCATACTTAGTCAAGTTTAGCTATCAACTATTACATTTGTGCCAAGTTTCATCTCTTTTTACCATAAGTCAGCTTATGTTTCACTTGTTCTGAAAATTTTCCATCTTTAGCTATGAATTGTCATTTTTATCAATGTTAGCGTGTTCCCGACCTTTCATCCTCCTCTAATTTACTCCTTTACTTGTGGCTTCTTTTAGCCTGGGCCTCCATTTGGGCCCAACTAATTGAAGAACCAACAAAGCCTTCTTATATATTGAATTATATTAAAAGTAAGGAACTTATGTATCAGCCTATGAACTATATGCTTTTGTTTATATCATATCATACCATATCATATCATACTCCATTTATAAACACGAGTTCGAGAAAATCTTTAGGTAGAGAAAAATACCCTTTAAATGTAAATACTAATTCATTAAGTAAGAGTGAGTTGATAAATTGATGAATTCTTATTGGATATACATAGTATGAAGATAATGATATGGTTTAAATTGAAATATAAACATGAATAAAATTATTAAATGCCAAATTTATAAATGTATACAAGATGAATGGCGTATATGCAATAACCAAACAAATTTCTAAATGTAATTCAAGATCAAATCGAAGATATAACCGAACAAAAAATTGCCCAAAAATAGGTTTTATTGATTGAAAGAGTACCTGTACTCGAAGGTATCGTCGAAGTATTTCTTCGAGTACTGAATTTTTCCCATTTCTTCGCTTGGTTTCTGTTAATGATCAAGATTTCAAGAGAATTAAAGATTGATTGAAACCCTAATACTTAGATCGGAAACCCTAGATTTTCTGAATGTGGCCACAGCAAAAGTTAGGATCGGTGGAGGTTGGGCTTCGGTGACGGCGTCGGCGGAGTCGGCAACGGCCATGAGGGGGAGAGAGGTTTTTTTTATTTTCTAAATCATTTTCTGAAGAAATATTGAGAGAGGAAGAGAGAGAGAACCGTGGGGATTTAAAAAAGTGTACACTTAAAGAAAGAAGGCGGAAACTTTCAAGGATAAGGTGGCTTGGGATATGCTGATTAGTATTCATTGTTCATTTTATTGTTCCGCTTTAGTTTAAAAAAATAGTAGATTAAACTTGTTGCAAATATTACCCATCAAAATTTTTATTACAACTTCTACCCCGTACTACCCCGTATATAAGTAGTAGGAGGGACCTAGGGTTTTCACCGCCACTGAACTTCCCGCGCCTCCAACCAAAAACACATATTTCTCTCTCTGTTTCCTCCCTCCTCCCTCCCCGCGACGACCTGCGCTCCTCCCTCTCCGACGCCCTCCTCCCTCTCCAACGACGCCCTCGTCGCTTCCCGCGACGACGCCCTTCTCCCTCCTTGAGATTACTGATTACTGCTTACTGCTCATCTAACCAATTCCTTTGCAGGGTCTTTGATTATTTATTAACCAATTTCTTTGCAGGACCTTACGCATCTGTTGTCTCTTCTGAGAATGATGAGGTCGAGAATGAGATTTCGGGCCCCGCTTCGAGAAGTCGGATCCACAGTTTTCATCCCTCCTCTTCGATCCTCCTCTCTTCCGAATCCGCTGTCGAGACAGAGCAGTGTAAGTTTCGTCCTTCTTCTCTGTGAATTCTCATTTTCTCTGTATTTGGGGATATGGGTTTCGTTTGTTTCGTGTTTTCGAGGGAACTCGTGGGTTTTTAGGATTAACAGTAGGAGGACTTTGTTCAGGTTTATCTGGCATCTTTAGTAGCGAGAGAAATTTAAGGAAAGTAGGGATCTTGAGATCTATTCTTTCGTTGTTATTCTCCAAGAACTTTCCTTTTCTATAATTGGGTTTATGAGTTTTGTTCTTTTTAATGTTTTTTTGGGGTTCCCCCGCTGAAAATTTAGGATTTTTATCAATAGGGTTTTGTTGGGTTATTCAATAGTTTCAGATATTCTTGAAATTTCCCCTTCTACCATTCTTAGGTAATTAATTTCTTGAACGCTTAAAATATTACCTACTTCAGGAATCTAATCTGTTCATTTCTTGATGGAAATTATAGGCCGACAGATTCATACCAAATCGATCCGCTATGGACTTCGACTACGCCTACTACGCCCTGCAACCCCATCCAAAGAACCGAGAAAAGGAAAACAACTCATCAGCGACTGCAACCACATCCAAAGAAGCCTACAGAAAACTCCTAGCTGAGACCCTCCTCAACAACCGAACCCGAATCCTAGCCTTCAAGAGCAAACCCCCAACCCCTACTGATGGCTCAACAACCGAACCCGAATCCTAGCCTTCAAGAGCAAACCCCCAACCCCTACTGATGGCTTCTTATCGGGTACAACATCTGACCCGTTAACCTCCTCCTAAGAGCAAACCCCCAACCCCTACTGATGGCTTCTTATCGGGTACAACATCTGACCCGTTAACCTCCTCCTTTCACCTAACCAAACCGAAACAAAGAAGATACATTTCTAGGACTGAAGAGAGGGGATTGGAAGCTCCTGATCTTGTTGATGATTATTACCTTAATCTTCTTGATTGGGGAAGTAGCAACGTGCTCTCGCTTGCACTTGGAAATACTGTGTATTTGTGGAATGCTTCGAATGAATCGGCATCTGAGCTTGTGACAATTGATGAGGATGTTGGTCCTGTGACCAGTGTTAGCTGGGCTCCTGATGGCCAGCATATTGCTGTGGGGCTGAATAATTCTCATATTCAGTTGTGGGATTCGACCAACAGTCGACTGGTTAGTACTCTCTTCTCTTTGTATTTTGTTTTCGATTAGTCTCGGTAAATTTTTGGAGAATTGGTAGATTTAAGTTGTTATTGCTCGGCACTTCAAGTTTGCAGAAACGGGTTATTTGAAAAGTTCATTTTGTGAGCCTATTTAATTTTCCAATTAACTGAGTAATCACTTGCATCATCTTGGATTTGGATACTCTGTACTGCAATTAGGTAAATAAGAGATCAGTTTTTCGATCATAACTGTTTATTACTTATATCTGATTACAACTTGCTTTTACTCGAAGTGGACATAGAATCGGTCATCTACATTTTAGATAATTATGATTTTGTCAATGTGGTATTAGGAGGTGACTCAAATTTGCAATCATTTTAGATAATTATGATTTTGTCAATGTGGTATTAGGAGGTGACTCAAATTTGCAATCATATGGATTTGGGTTCTGTGGAATCCACTTAGGCCATAGCTCAAATTTGCAATCATATGGATTTGGGTTCTGTGGAATCCACTTAGGCCATAGCTAATCCTGATTATCCTACAATTTCAGAAATGAATCACATTCATCAATATTTTAGTTGATAGTAGTGATTGGAAGAAAAATGTTACTGAAAAACCAAACTTGCAATTTATATGTGGATTTAGATTCCCTCAACTTATTCAATTAAACTTATTTTGATTTATTGCTTCTGGAATAGACTACTGACATCGGAGTATTTTATTTACTGCAATTTCTACAGCTAAGAACATTGAAACGAGTCCACAGATCTCGGGTCGGCGCTCTCGCCTGGAACAAAAACATCCTGACAACCGGAGGAATGGATGGAAAAATTGTAAACAACGATGTCAGAATCCGATCACACGCCATCCAAACTTACCGAGGACACACCCTGGAAGTCTGCGGCCTTAAATGGTCAGGCTCCGGCCAGCAACTCGCCAGCGGAGGCAATGACAACCTCCTCCACATCTGGGACCTCTCAATGTCATCCTCAAGTCCACCTCCAAACCAAAACCAATATGTTCATCGCTTCGAAGGTCACATGGCAGCGGTCAAAGCCCTAGCTTGGTGCCCATTTCAAAGCAACTTACTAGCTTCAGGTGGAGGTGGAAGTGATCGATGCATAAAATTTTGGAACACTCGCACTGGGGCTTGTTTGAATTCAATAAATACCGGGTCACAGGTTTCCTCGCTGCTTTGGAATAAAAATGAGAGGGAGTTATTGAGCTCTCACGGGCTTACTCAGAATCAGTTGACGTTATGGAAGTATCCTTCGATGCTAAAGATGGCAGAGTTGACTGGGCATACTTCCAGGGTTTTGTTTATGGCCCAGAGTCCTGATGGATGCACTGTCGCATCGGCGGCTGGAGATGAGACATTGAGATTTTGGAATGTTTTTGGAACTCCTGAAGATGCGAAGCATGTGCCTAAGGAGAACCCAATGCCCTTCAGTAGTTATAATCATATTAGGTAAAACAGGACATTAGTTCAATTGTAATGTATATTGTTTTGTAATGTATATTGTTTCAAGACATTAGTTCAATTGTAATGGTAATTTTGTACAATTTCTCATGTTACACAATTAACCTTTTGGAGATATGTCATCTGTGAAAACAATTAAGTTTATAAATATTTTGTGAAGAAATTAAGTTTATAAATTATTGTATAAGGTTACAGAGTAATTTGCAGATACAATGTTTCACGTGGGGTTTAGCTGCTAGCATTTGGGGGGTTTGTTCTACTAGAGCTTCTAGCCAGTTCATGGGATGATGAAGCTGATGGTGACGATAACGTGATTGATTTGGTTGAAAGAGTTGAACAGGGAAAAAATAAATAAAAAGTAGTCGGCTGTCAATACCCAAAATTTCATGTACATGTAGCCTTTTATTACGAAAAAGAACGAGGTAATTAAATAGACAAACGGAAATATATTTCTATTTGTCTTAGTTCCATTTTGGTGTCTGCGGTTATCTGATTTGGTTACATCTCAAGCAATATATTTTGATCTGTTTGAAACTATCCTTGGACATGAATGATTTAGTTACATCTCGAACAATTTATCTTGATCTGTTGGAACTATGCTTGGTTGCTTTCCGTGCATTAATTTTGAATCAGTTTGTTCAAATGAAATAAGTACCGAGTTTATTGTAGAATAAATAGCTATCTTGATGGTCATAAAGCATTTGTGTGTGATGTTCAAAATCTTATTGATATATGCTTGCATAGGTAAATTCAGATGCCAAGGCATATCAAAACAAAGCTACTGAGAATTGGGTTGATGTATGTGTGTTAGTGGGGTAAAATACTTCAAGGTTCCATGTTTGGATTATGAATTTATTTCAAATTGTGTGCATCTACTTGCTTGTGTTTGCTTTATTTGATTCAGAAGTTGAACAAGATATTAAAATGTCCAAACTCCAAACGCACCCATTAAATACTCTGCTTTCTGAACTTTGCAAAGTGAAATAGAAGTCTTGTTTCAGATGACATAAGCGATACAAGCCTATGTAAACATTAACGCACTATGGTCAAGACCCGTTTATGCTTCTTTCTCAAAGTAGAATCTGGTAAGGATATGATATATACTACAAAAACACAGACACACGTCTGTGTTTATAGAAGTTTTATTTTATGCATATGCCTTATAGCAAAGTAAACTGAACATGATTCACAAGATGCCATGCTTGATGCTTTTTCTTATCTCATGTAGGCAACAATGACACAAAGCACTTTCCCCTAAAACATAAACTAGGCTCAAGAAAAACCTAGGCTCAACTGGGTTATAAGAAGTTTCCATGCTTATGAGGGTGTTTACTTTATCTTTAGATTCGCCATGATTCAAAACTCTTACAATGTACTAAGCATATAATGTCTGTATATTTTACACAGGTAACACAATGAAAGTCCAAGAAGCACAGAAAATTACTTTTCAAGAAAAAATAGCACTAACAAAAGAGAGTTCAAAGATATTGCAAGATTATAAACACAAGTATTATAACTAAGTAAAACTTGTTTTACCTAATATGATTATAACTATTGAAGGGCACTGAGTTCCCCTTAGGCACAGGCTTCGCAACTTTAGGAATTCCGAAAACATTATTGTCTTATCTTTTGTATTCCCTTTTTTTTGTCATTTTTAAGACGATACTGATTTTGTTTCTGTTGCTACTTCAGGTTCTTCTACAACCAGATCCATTCCTTAGCAAGCTTTCAAATATATACGAATGAACTATAGAAATGGGATTTGTTTGGGTCGCCCTTAAATGATGTACTGTTCTTATTGTATTCATGTATTTTCTTATTTTTGAGTGGGCATTATCTTTTATCTTAATGGCTGTGGGGTGAAATTTTGTACGGGTGGGGGTGGGTTGGTTTTTTTTATTTTTTATTTTTTTTATTTTTTTGTATGGGGTTTGGGTGGGGGTACCATTTCTTTTTGTAATGTATATTGTTTCATGACATAAGTTCAATTGTAATGGTAATTTTGTTACAATTTCTCATGTTATACAATTAACCTTTTGGGGTAAGATCTATCCTTTTGGACAATGCATTTCCATTTGGTTTTTTTATCGTATTTCTCGAAGATGATATTTTGCGATTATATCCATTAAATCATATAATCATCTTACATCATTGTGGGAGCATGGGAGGCTTAGTACTTCTTGGTTTGCATGAGCTTACACTGCATTAAAAAATAATATGCTGGTACAAACTAACTTAATCATTTATACCTCGTTGATTTCCGTAAAGGATATCTTGCTAAAATAAGGAATTGTGGAATGAAAATTCAACATGCGGTGAAAAATAAGTAAAGGATATCTTGCTAAAATAAGAAATTACGTAATAAAAATTCAACATGCGGTAAAAAATAAACGAGACCCTCTTCTAAAAGTTGTTTGTCATAGTTGAATTCGAACTATAAACAATAATACCATTGTCATTTAAGGGAAAAAAATCCTTTCTATTACCCTAGCGAACTGTTAGTAGTTATTTTGCACCTAAAACTTTGATATCCAACCAAAAATATTATTTTCCATATATAATAACATGGTAAATGAGTAAATGCAATATCTCATGAGTAGTAGATACATACACAAATGCATGCACCGACACGGGCGACGTGAGTCAGAGACAATCGTCACTAACTCACATCATCCAAAGTCCAGTCACAAGGATACACGAAAGAGCTTAAGTATTGACACGTAAACACAATCTTTTTGCCACTCATACATGAAAGAGCTTAATTTTAGTAGTTTTATCATGATTTGATTAGATGGTGAAATATTTTTGGAAACTTTGAAAGTAAAGTTTACTGCTCTTGTCCCTACTTGTGACTTTATGCTGAATTTTGGGTTTTCCTCTCTTGGGGGGTGGGGTTGCAGTGTTGGCTGATTTTGTCTAACTTGTACTGAACTATTAAAGCAGTGTTGACTGATCTTGTTTAACTTGTATAGAACTATTAACTGTTAACCATTAAATTTTAGCTTTAATGTAGCATACTTAGTCAAGTTTAGCTATCAACTATTACATTTGTGTCAAGTTTCATCCCTTTTTGCTATAAGTTAGCTTATGTTTCACTTGTTCGGAAAATTTTCCATCTTTAGCTATGAATTGTCATTTTTATCAATGTTAGCGTATTCCCGACCTTTCATCCTCCTCTAATTTACTCCTTTACTTGTGGCTTCTTTTAGCCTGGGCCTCCATTTGGGCCCAACTAATTGAAGAACCAACAAAGCCTTCTTATATATTGAATTATATTAAAAGTAAGCTCCATTTGGGCCCAACTAATTGAAGAACCAACAAAGCCTTCTTATATATTGAATTATATTAAAAGTAAGTAACTTATGTATCAGCCTATGAACTATATGCTTTTGTTTATATCATATCATATCATATACTCCATTTAAAATCATGAGTTCGAGAAAATCTTTTGGTAGACAAGAGTACCATTGAAATGTAAATACTAATTCATTAAGTAAGAGTGAGGTGATAAATTGATGAATTCTTATTGGATATACATAGTATGAAGATAATAATATAGTTTAAATTAAAATGTAAACATGAATAAAATTATTAAATACTAAATTTATAAATGTATACAAGATGAAGGGCGTATATACAAATACCAAACAAATTAGTGAGACAAATAATGTCCGCCCCACCCAGGAACAACACAAACATACAAATGTACATAATGTGGATGGGATATTTGCAAATCCACCAAACAAATTAAAGAGAAAAAATCGTTCTTAAAATTATAAAAAAGAAAAAATAAAACAAACGACTACGATATGAGAACACAACGTGACGATCTCTCACCAACTAAATTCAAGTAGTTCACGGTACCGTATAATTAGTTTTAAAGTTTAATTAAACCCTTATTACTTAAATAGAACTCTTTTTCTTCTTATTATATTAGATTAGATTATTTTAAAATAATTAATTATATTGTATATTTAATTTTTTTTATATCAAGAAATATCAACAATTTTCAAAGCACTTTTATTTATTTTCCTCTTATTAGATTAGATTATATAATTTTAAAATTATAAAATTGAAATAATTTTTATAGATTATTATAATTTTCACAGCACTTTAATCTATTTTCTTCTTATTAGATTAGATTAGATTAATTATATTGTATATTTGATATATTTTCAGATTAAAAATTACAATAATTTTCATAGTACTGTCATCTCTTTCAACATTTATGTGCATTTGTTATTTTCTTCTTATTAATTAGATTAGATTGCTTAAAAATTCTATATAAATTATAAAATTGCTGTAATTTTCAAATCATTTTTATCTATTTTCTTCTTATTAGATTAGATTGGATTATTTTAAATCAATTACTTATATTATATGTTTGATCTTTTTTCAGATCACAAAGTTTAATCATACTATTATTATTTAAATAGATACTAATTGTATAAAAAACAAAGAGAATCCCACACATATTTTAGATCTCAATGCCAATCGTAATTTTTACACATGGGTGTTGGTTAAAATAAATTTCATGTATGGGCATAACTTATATGATCCTACTTTAACCGGATTTGATAATTTAATTTTTTTAACATCCAAAGTCAACCATAAAATCAAAAAGAGGGTAGCAATGCTATAACTATATATATTCATAGGACCATAAAATATTAAAAATGAACGAAGAAAGCCACACATATAAAATCATATTAATTACCCACATGCACCCACTATTTTCAAAATCACTCTTCTCCGTCTCCACCTATAATATATCCACATACCAAATTAAGCTGCTAGAGTTTCCACTTACCAACTACATCATTGATCAACCCACTTTTTTCTTTTGTACTTAAATTGTATAATATTCATTGCAATGAGGACTCATATGGGCCCAACAAAGAAAATAATGTACTAGGCTTTGTAGTTAGTTAATAATGAGATCCTATTATTACAAACAAACTAAGTAAAGATTAATAATTCTTAAAAATATACTACGTTCCTCTAGCTTCCACTGCAAACTTATAAGTTGTTTATTCTTGGCCCCAAGAGATTTTCAGAATTAATCATCTATTTCATAAATTTTTTAAAAATGTTTAAATAAAATTTATGGTAAAC